AGGTGACCCATTAGACAGTTATATTCCACAGGAAGGCCCAGGGGACCCATCCTTCAGCATGGCCGAGAATTCACTGATGAGTGGGCTTGAGCATCATGAAGCTCAGCGGTGGCTCTCCTTGGCAGGCTGGGGCTGGCAGGAAAGGCTGTGATGGAACTTCGCTTGCTGAGAGCAATCTAGATGATGATACCTTGAAGAGCCCAGGTGGCTCTTCAGGTCTGCAGGTTATCTAGTTGGTTATCTGCCTAATCCATGAACATAATTGAGATTGGCATCCTTGGCAGGCAGAATAACCCCCACATTTGTTGCCTGATCTGTGGGGAAAGAGTATAAACTTGTAAACTCCTCCTCCAAACAGGGCGGTAAATCATAATCAATATTGCCTTGAACTCTGTTTTTTTTTAAGCACCTCAGGTGAACATCTGCTTCTGGCCATGACGGTAAAATGGGAACCCAATTTACTCTTCCCTCTTAAACAACTAAAAACCCAGACAAAATATATGAAACAGATACTGGTTTTCAGATACTGGAAGTTCACAGTACAGGACTGTGATCTCTGAGAGAAAGGGAAAAAATGAGGTGGGTCCAATGATTGCTCAAGCTAATGGCCTGGAGGCAGTTTCTAGTTAGCAAAGCAGGGAGGGGGAAGCCAGAGACCAGTGGTCCTGCTGGGTTGAGGAGGTAGAGATCGTGTTAACAACTCAGGCCTAGCTAGGTAGAACTTGTCGGGCAGAGTAAGTGAGAGGAGAGGAGGAGGCAGCACACACAGGGAGCGCCATAGGTCTGCAGGGGGTCCTCTAGAGTCCTTGGTTGACTGAAGGTGTAAGAAGAAACCACCCAAGCCAAGAAATGAGTAACTGGAAAGTAGTAGAGCAAATAATTTACAGGTCATCTATGTGGCTGGGAGACGTCTGTGTTCCAACTAGCCAAAGTAGAAACAACTCATAATTCATGGGGTCCTCAAAAGCATGTTGCCTTAGTACTAAGGTCAAATTGTCCCCAGACCAAAGGCTTCTTTGGGCTTCCCCTAACAAAGCTTAAGAGCAAGCCTTGGAAGGATCAAACTAATTTTAAGAAACTTAACTGAAACAGAATAAAGCCCAATACTTTTTATAGGAATATAACAAAATCCATCAACAAACAATATAACACTCATAATTCCCAACATTCAGTAAATAACTACTAGAAACAAAAAAATTATGACCTATAATTAGAAAAAAAAAAAGAGTAATCATTAGAAGTAGACCCAGAAGTGACAGATATGAAGAAATTAGCAGCTTGAATTATGTGATCTGGCAGATCTTATGTATTGGAGGTAGGAGGGAAAGAAGCAGCCGTGTGAAAAATATGACAAGGCCCAGTGAGAGAATCACAATGCAGGTCCCTGGGGTCCTGAAGCAAGGTGGTTCTAACTGCAGAAGAGAATTACATGCTTTTTGAAAAACAGTTTCTGGTGTGCTACTGGGCCCTGGTAGACATGGAACTTTGAGACCCAATGATGCTGTGTCCAGAACTGTCCGTCTTAACTAAGTCCTGTGGGAAGCACCAAGTCATAAGCTAGTAAGATCAGCAGCAGTCTACTGGGAGATGGAAATGATATATACAGGAGCAGTTCCAAGCAGGACCAGAGGACATAAGCAAACCGCAAGAGCAAGTATCTCCACCACCACATCTGCACAGCGGCACCCATACCCCACTCCCTGTGGTTGTTGGAGGACCTGTATGATCCACCAAAGGAAGAGGAATGCTCGGGCTTGGTTTATTGATTAGTTCTTATTCTGCAGTTGCAGGCTGAAAATGGACCCTCACTCAAAGGTGACCCTGAAAAACAGAGGAAAAAAACTTGCAATCTTTCTGCAAAAACTGGGCAGAATTTTTTGAGGTGCACTGATCATTACTTTGTGAGGGAGGAGCGGTAAAATATGTATAGAAATAGCAGCAAATGGCCTGCCAGCCGACGAGGAGTTTGGGAGACAAAAGAATGGATGATTAGGAGGTCTGGGGTATAGGCATGTGGATGGGCATATGGAGTGGACACAAAACTTGAAAAACTGTATCACATGTTAATGCCCACCAGATAGCACCCAGCACAGAAGAGCTACTAAACAACCAAGTAGAGGAAATGACAGCCTGTTCTATTAACTTTTGCCAGTGTCCACCTCAGTGCTGGTAAAATGTGCACACTAAGTGGCAAAGATGGAGGCTAAACATGGAACCCACCCACATGGGCTCCCACTTACTAAGGCCAACTTGGACACTGCTCACCCTATCCAACCTGCCAGCAGCATATACCAGTGCTGAGACCCTGATGAGGCTGTGAGGACCAACTGGTCACTTGATGGCAAATTCACTATGGTAGGCTCATTCCTTCCTAGAAGCACCAGCAGTTTATTCACATAAAGACAGCCTCCTATTCTAGGTATGTCTTTTTTTTGGCCCTACAGGGTCTGAACACAGTCTACGGACTTATAAAACTGATCTGCCACTATGGACTTGCTGAACATGTGATCTATGCATGTTAACACCCAATTAGGGAGTTAACCAATGGCCACAGGATCCACTTGTCATATCACATACTGTGCCCCCTAGAAGCTGCTGGCCTGATGGAATGCTGGTATGGCCTGCCTCAGTGCCAGGTGGGAAGACAATACCCTGCCAAGATGTGCCGCCATCTCCTGTACACAGTTTACTTACTGAATCAGAAAGCCTATATGATGCTGTGTCTACAACAGGAAGAATGTATAGATTTCAGAACCAAGGAGTGGATGGAGGAGTGACGCCACTTACCATCACACCCAATGAACCACTGAGGGACTTAGTACTTCTCATCCCCACAACTCCGGGTTCTACAGCATCAGAAGTTCTAGTGCTCAGAGGGTGTATACCTTCTCTAGGCAATATTGCAAGAGTGCCATTGAACTAGAGTGCACTGCTACTATGTGGGCACTTTGGACTCTGTGTTCAGGGACCAGTAGACAAGAAGCCGCTGTCTAGTCAGGGGTAACTGACCCTGAACTCCAAGTGGACGTAAGCCTGCTGTCAGAGGATGGCAGCCAGGAGTAGTGTGCGTTACTAACGTGGAACTTAGCGGATCCGCTGGAGGCACTCGGTACTCCTCGCCCAGCTGTAACTGAAAGGACTAGTGCAGCAACCCTGGTCTGAGAAGTGTTTGGTCTCAGGACCTCAGGGCCTCAGGAATGAGAGCCTGGTTTATACTACCAAAAAAGCCACCAAGACCAGCTAAGATGACAGTTGAGGAATTTAGAATGAAAGGGGGAGTAATGAGGACGAGCTGTGACTCCAAAACCATTTGCAGGAAGGTGCTATAGTTGGTCTCACCAAACTCCTCTTTCAAAATTTATCCTCAGGAAGAGAGGTCCATGGCACCCTGGAGCAGTCACTCTCTGCATGTTTTTCGGGAAGTGGATCCATATGGGCAAGGGGTGGACTGTGGTAGGCATGGAGAGGTGCCACTTAGATCCCCCTTTAAGACAAGACGTGCCATCCAACTGCAAGGAGCCACCAGCTGCTACTTCACCAGGGTCCACCTTAGCTTTCAAGCTGAGGTCACACTAGTCTCAAGACAGGAGAGGTTGGTGGCCAATGATTTCAGTAAATTATGGAAATTGAGAGCATGCTCTTCTCAGAGGGGGGCAAGCACCTAGGATAGAAGGACCTAGCTGTTTCAGTCCAACACAGAACTCCACCAATGAGTGATCTTTTTCCCAGAGTTCCCCTGGGATGGCAGCTCACCTGCCTCCTGTCTCATCCTGCTTCCTCTTTTCCTTTCAAAGGTGCTTACTCCAATAAAAGCTTTGGTATTCTGAGTATCTCAGTGTCTACTTCTTGAAGAGCCTAAACTGGCAGTAGGAACATGCCCCTTACTGGTAGCTCATCTGTATCTTCTATTTTTGGGCTTCCTTGTCTTTACCTAGCACATGAGAAGCATTTGTTAGGACTTTTTTTCCACTGCTGAACAAATGACAGATTGCTCTCCTCCTTCTTCTGTGAATAAAGGCTGGCCTCTGCGGGAGGTAGGTCAGAGCAGGCAACTGAGAGAAACTGTATTCGTTACCGCGTTATTAAAGAAAGTGGACCAAGAACCAGGTCCATGTTACATTCAAATGACCCTCTATTCCCCCAACAACATCCTCGCATCTGCCAAAGCAAATTATCCCGCTGTGCTCATTTTATGATGAAATCAGCATCACATATAGGCTGAACCCCTCTACAGCAGAACCAAGAAAGCCACTTTTTCCCCTCTCCTCCTAAGATGCCAGCACAGAACAGGGCGCCAGCAGCTCCTTTTCACTGTGATTCTCTTAAGGAATATACTGTCACCCCCACAGGGAAAGCAAGAGGTCAATCAAGATTCTTCAGAAATAGTGGAGGCCAGAAATCAGATAGCATTGAGGTTGTTTCCAGCTGAGACCAAATGGTCATTTGTTTCTCTCACCACTGTTAGAAACCAAAGTGGAAATAACTTAGGGTGGGGCTTATTGTCTATGATTACCTGGAACTTAAAGCATCAGGGTACGAGGAGAGCCGTCGGATCTACCCCTGTGGAGCTTTGGAATAAGATGCGGTCTGTACCAAGCGGCCCCATGAAGTAGGTAGCCACGCGGAAGGCGCTGTGTTTCAGGAATGAGTCTTGATTCTTGTCTCCCTGTATTTCATCCATGCCTGTGAGAAGTTCTCACGTTTCTACACACGCCAAGTCATCTGAACTGCCAGGCAACAGTTATTCCTATTTTATTCCAAAGTCCATAGGACACGATGTGGAGTTGTTTTTCCACATGCTGTTGCAGATGGCGCCATCCAGTGTCTGTGATGTTCCCTCTCTTCCCTGCTGAGGCCTCACCTCCCCCAGAGACCTTCTGTTCTCACTGCTTTTCTCTTTGTATCCAGCAGAACACTCAACAATTCTGTACAAGAAGACTTATCTCATTATTAAAAAAAAAAAAAAATGCATGTACGAACAAAAAGAAATGTTTCAAATATTTACAATTGTTTTATTCAAAGCAAATTTAAATACGAATTTTTCATTAAAAATGGGGATTTAAAAAGTTTTATAGTGTTATGTTGCTTTATCTTTGCATAAATTATGTATTAAAGATTTCTGATATTCTAGTCTTTTTTAGGCAGCTATGAGAAGATTTCATATTCAAAAGCCAATGCCACTTTTCTAAAGAACAAACAATCTTTGTGCCAAATTAGTAGACAGTTGCTCCAAATCTCTGGTCTTGATTTCTGGTTGTGTGAAGAGCAGTGTTTTGTTTTCTTCAGATATGGGGTCTTCATTCTTTAGGTGTGTTTTTGCCTCAAAGCCATTTCTAATGGGTATCTGAAGTTTTAGTTTATAAGTCTCATCATGATTTGGCCTGTGCAATCCAGCTTTTAGATACTGTTTTCATACCCCCAAAAGATGGCAGGTGGTAGGTACACTAGATTCAGACCAAGAATCTCCACATTGTCATCCTAAGTCCTTCTAAGGAAGAAGACAAGACTCTGGCTTATTTAACAAATAAAGGAGACTAAGTACACGGATGTTAAGGGAGTAAGGGTGAGGGCAATAAGACTGACATTAAAATAAAGACTTCGAACGCTTTTGCCCCATGTCTAAAATTGTCGGAAAATCTGATCAGAGAAGATTAGAAGATAATTAGCAACTCAATTATTTATAAACAAATATAAAAATGCACAAACCAAATGATGCAAAAAAATCTTTTTAATCTAAAAATTCATTTCCCAGGGCTAATTGATAGCCAAGCCCTACCAATTTTTATCAGTTTATTTGACTAACAAGAGCTAGTCAACATTTTCTTCAAAGTAAGATCATAGATTTTGACAAATCTTTCTGAATTAGGACATGATACCGTAGGCAGTTCAAGGGAAAAAACAGGCATAACTTTTTCTTTGGTGATCCCAAAAGGATATCCAAAAATTAGCAAATGTTGACATTTCAAGTGACAGGAAATTGCCTAATGAAAGTTTAAACTCTGGTTAAAAAAACAAAACAAAACAAAACAAAAAAAAACTGTTGTAAAAGGAAAAGCTCCACCCATAGTTCTGTAGTGCAAGTTTTCAAATTTAGTTCTGAAAAATAATTTTATTTCATAGGCAGGAAACAAATTCCAGCAGTGTATCACTTATTCCTCTCCAACTCTGCCCCTCTGTCTGTCCACACCACTTCAGTTCTCAGCTTCTACTCAAGGAGGAAATTCATTAGAAAATGACCCACACTTCTAAAAATCAGGCTACAATTGTGTGTATGTGGCTGCACAGCAGCAGGCACCAGATTACAGCATTGCCACTTCTACATGTTTGACATTTTCATAAAAAAGAAAGTCTACCTCCCCCAGAAAAAAGTACCTGAACCAATTAGTCACTTAGCCTCTTCCCAGCTTCTCTCTGCTCACCACAACCTGCCTCCCCTCAGCAGCACACGTGAGCATATATCCGTGTGTTCTGTGCATTAAGAACCAGCAACTCTACCACCTTTCTTAGAAGTAACATCTTCTCCTTTCTTACGGAACTCGCCAATTTCCATAAACGTAATGCTTTGAAAGCAATTACCGCCTAGTCCGGAGGACTCCGTTATTCTACACCAAGCTTAACTCTGGCTTGCTTTCTTCTATTTCTGTACATGTTGTTTGTGTATATGTGTATTTTTAAAAATTAAAAAGTGTTGAAAATGCACACACACACACCCAGCATTTAGGAAAAAAAAAAATCTTCCCCAGGAAGCACTTTCAGAAGTTTAAGCTTCTACTTGTTCTTAAGCCACAGGGCAAGTGCCAAGTGAGTCCTAAATAACTTTCACTCACACTGCAGGGCAGGCAACTCCGGGGCCCACAGCACAGACGCAGGGTAGCATCCCTGGGCGAGCAGGGAGGGCGCCTGGCAGGCTTCATAGAGTGCTGCATAGCTCATCTCCCCACCCCCCCGTGTCACCTGGGAGAGTTATGATCTTGGCCCTAACTCTCCTCGCTCAGAGAACCGCCACATTGCGGGGAGGGCGCTCTGCCTTCTGCACCCGCTGTCCCATCCATGGGGCGGAGGGCCGGGGGCTGCAGGGAGGCAGCAGGCCCCTCCCCACAGAGCAGGCCGCCCTCATCCATCTCCTCCCTCGCCAGTCCGTCCAGGGAACATCCCTCTGCAGTGCCCAGGGCACCGCAGGCTCTGCTGTCCACAGGCTCCATGGCCTCCCCTTCTCCCTCCGAGATGACGGTCATGGGGCTGCTCTGGATCCGGTTTCGCAGGCTGTACCTGCTGCTGGCGGCTGACGGCGGCGTTCGACTGCGGCCGTACCTGGGGCCGGAAAAGGACAGACTCCGAGGCATCAAGCCTTCATTCTTGGCCCACTCCTCCTGTGCCCTTCTGTTCTTGCTTGGGGAGCAGCTTGATGGGCTCTCGGGGGCGTCTGGCGAAGGCTCTGACCTTGACCTCTGGAATCTGGGGTCGGTGTTCTTGAGCATCTCTGCTGCAGACATGCGGGCGCTGGTGTCTGAACGACTGCCCTTTTTTAGCAGCAGAGCTTTGAAGTTGTCACTGCTGGTGCTGCTCTTTCGGATGCTTCTCTGAATGGATCCCACTTGTTTTGGAGAGGCCAGGCTCGGGGCAGTGCCGGTGGGTGTCACTGGTGGGGAGGGAGAATGGTTTCGGGAGTGGTCATCATCTGAATCTCTACGGCCGAGGACTTTCCTTTTGGATCTGAGATTTAATAACATTAAGACAAAGGTTAATTCCCAAGGGACCACAGGCTGTCAGCCACAACCACTCTGCTTCTCTTAAGTCACATCTTCCGGTCACCATCTACTGGGCAAAAAAGTTTACTTTTGACTGGGCATGGTGGCTCACACCTGTAATCCCAGCATTTTGGGAGGCCAAGGTGGGAGGACCATTTGAGCTTAGGAGTTCAAGACCAGCCTGGGCAACATAGACCTTATCTCTATTCCAAAAAAAAAAAAAGAGAGAGAAGAAAAAGTAGTAAGTGAATAATTTATTTTTAACTTTGAAAAACTACAACACCGACACGAAAAAGAACAGCTCATTGTAAGACCGCACGAGCCCATAACTCACCTATGATAATCATGAATTATGGTCACTCTCCTTTTGTCTCCACTCTTCCAATTTGAAACAAATCTTACACACTGTATTAACTTACTTCGGATAGGACCATTTCCAAAAGTTTTAACAATGGCCAGGTTTCCTTAATCTCTCCTAGATGGGCTGATTCGAAGTGCATTTCACATGCTGACCCTCCTTTCTTTCCACGCTTCCTTTTCTTGTTCCATACCAGAATACCCCCTGTACTAAGACGTACTCCACTCCAGGTCCGAGAACAACTCCTCAGCTTCACATTCTCAGTTATTCTAGAAGTTGACATCAGAGCAGTCTTCCTCAGCTCTTCCAGGACCACGTGCCAACTTCTAGAAATTTAGCCTTCCAGAAAACAAAAGTGAAGCCTCCGGGCCAGATTGTGTTTCATGATTGACTTCAGCAAACCTCGCACTGATCAAGAAAATGTGACGGGTGGGGTGAGCGGGGAAGATGAAGGGGCGAGCAAAGAAAGTAAAAGGTTTCCTGTAGGTATTTCTCGTCCTGAGTCTCTAAGAACGTCACTGTTCAATGTGCTTTCCATTGCCAGTGATGCAGAGATGATAAACCCAGTGAGCCAAGTGGCCCCTTGCTGGTCTCTTCATGAGAACAACTCAGTGTGTGTCTCTTAGCTAAGCACAGGAGAACTTGCTTTAAGGAAACTTGACACAGTTAATAGAATAAAGATGTGGGTGTATCTCTTTTCCTGCTATCAAGTTGTAGAATGGGCAGGAGGGCAAGGTTGAGTATGGTATCTGTACATACAGATTAAGAGTTGAAACCAGACTCTTCCCACTTCTTGCTGAGAGACCTGGGGGCAAGTTACCTATACATGCTGTGCCTCCTCACTTACAAGATACCAACCTCACAGGTTTGTGAAGATTAAGTGAAATAAAGAAGCTATATAACTCCCACTGCTAAAGCTTCCTTGTTCTGTCCTCTTGGGCAAGTGGACATTTCTGACTGTGTTTCCTATCACAAAAGGAGGAATAAGAGTATATAGGTCACAGTTTGCCGAAACAGCCATAATCGGTCAGGCATAGAGCAGGTGCTTGACAAACCTTTGAATGTCACATAGAAAGTTGATTCAGTTTTTATGTGGCTTACACAGCAGGACAGAGGGCAGGATGGGCCCACGCTGGCTACCCTGGGCTTGGTGTTCCCGGGGTCATCTCCGTCCTTCTGCTCAAAAAGAAGCCACTAAAGCAGAGGGTGGGAAATGGTAAAGACTCAATATAGAGTCTGAAGGGTGGCCAGAGTGGACAGGGCACCAGACTCTTTGGGACTGCAGAACACGGCCTACAACACAGGTTTCATGGTCCCACTCAGTAGTCAATAAATGTGGTGCCCTGATATGAGTTAGGACCCGCTGATCAAACCACAGACATCCTAACATCTTGAAATTGCCGAGCTAGAAAAGATGTTACAAACGGTCTAGTCCAACCACTTTTGGCTTCCGAAAAGGTAACTGGGGTCTAAAAAGTGAAGTCACACAACTTGTTAGTATGACAGCTAGGACTTGAGGGACTATCTTTGTCCTTACAGCACATGGTCTCATCACTTACATGGTCTGCTCCCCAAAACAGCTCTGCTCATTTCATTCTTTTAGGTATTGGCTGGTGGCTTAATTTTTAATTTAGTTTTTAAATGGTGAGGGTACACTGAGACCCATTAAACAAGTCACAACTACACTTGATTAAAAGGATGACCTTTAACTGTGACACAGAATTAAGAAAGAAGATGGAGTGACCAGCCCAGGCAACATGGTAAAACCAGGTGTCTGCTAAAAATATGAAAATTAGCCAGGCATGGTGGCACATGCCTGTAATCCCAGCTACTCAGGATGCTGAGGCAGGAGAATCATTTGAATCTGGGAGGCAGAGGTTGCAGTGAGCCAAGATCGTGCCCCTGCACTCCAGCCTGGGCAACAGAGTAAGTGAGACTCTGTCTCAAAAAAAAAAAAAAAAAAAAAAAAAAAAAGAAAGAAGAAGATGGGATTCTATGAAAGCACTGTCATCTCTCGAGAGCAGGTGCCCACTAAAATAATTAAATCTAAATGTACAAATTCTTTGCATATACATACACACAGACACACACAAATATGTATTTTTAAGGAAGATGTCTATAAAAAAGTGCTTAAACAGTTAACACTGATTTAAAAACTAATTACTTCAATAAATATAAAAACTTCACACCTCAACTGGTGTTCTACATTTTCCATCTGGCTTTAAATCTGAAGCGAATTAATTTGCATTATAAAATCTGGAAGCTGTGTTTCAACTTAGATATTCTTTATTTTAAATTATGAGCTTATGTGCTGAAGGACATAAAAATAAAGCCCTAAAAAACACAGACAGTAGATAGGTTTTTACTATGTCTGCTAATTTATTCTCTACACTACAACAGAAATTAGCATGTGTCCTCGCGCTCTCTCTGCAGTCAGTTCCTAAGGCCTAGTTGGCTTTTACTTCTCTCATGCGCACACTGAATACTACAAACTGACCAATTTCTACATCTGCAGTCGATGTAATGCCCTAGTAATAAAAACCACACATTTTTCAGTGCCTTAAGAAGGTTGCCAAAATATAGAAGAAACCTTTGGCATATTTTTGGGAAAAAATATGCAGTAATTCGGACCCACAACAGTTGGGTTTCCTCACTAGAACCAAGTATTTAGTACATAGAACAACCAGGCAATGCAAATCTTCTCTGTAGATGGCTACTATAAATAGCTAAATGTGCCTGTATATTTAGCAATTCAGTGCATTCCATACTAAATGAAATACTTTGAATCTTGGAAGAATCTTCTAATGGTTAAATACCAGTTGGTTTTATTTAATTCAGGAAATATTTATTGAGTGCTTATTATGTGTCCAGCATGGTTAAGAGTCAGAAACATCTGTGGGAACTTCTAGAATTGCCACTAAAGTTTCAAAGGATGGATCACTGATCATTTCTCTGTTTTGAGAAATAATTGGATAACTACTGTTTTACTTCTAATGAGATTAACAAAACCAGCCCATGTTAACGGAGGTAGTCTTTAGGATCTATTATACCAATACTAGAGGAGCGATGTAAAGAGCATAATTATTCACAAGCACATTAATTCACCAGCTTCATTATCCCCACACCAAGTTAGATGCTTATGTGTCGCATGGAGAGTTTCCGGTAGGTACAGCACTATGTTTTTCATCTTATGCATTAGTCTTTTCAGTGAGATTCCAAGAATAAAGAGTGCTCATAGAAGATCATTCACACACAGAATCAAATGATTCCTATAGAATCAATCATTTGATTCCTATAGAATCATTTGATTCTTTGTTTCAGGAGGTTAAAAAAAAAGGATCTTCATTCAAAGCAAAATAAGGCCTTGGCAACATAAGGACATTCATTAGAGTTACCTGGAAACACCGTGGTAAAGAGGTCTAGAAGGAAGCCAAAGGCTTAGTAGCATTATGGCTTCAAGTACTTGCACATAAACAGTCATCAGTTCTCACAGTGGCACTGTTGTGGGAGTGCTCAGCTGTTTACAATCAGAAAAGTGTCGCGATAAATAAAACTTTAGTGCTAAATCATATTCACTCTTAAAGATGAACATACATAAAAACTGTAACCACTCAGGCCATTATTTTGAAAATTTTATCCTTTTTTGTTTTTAAACCCAAAGATTTCTGCTGCCAGTAGATGGCACTCGTGGTATACAGCAACAAGCACACATCACTCTTGTTCCTGCTCAAAGAGACGCACTCTTTTATAGAAACATTTAAGCAGCCAAAGAAACGGCACTGTATAATCGTGGTTTTTCTGTAAAATGGAAAAAACAATACTAAACTAAAACCTCCTGAGGAGGAGAGTCCCGTGGAGCTGTCTGTGCATTCTGAATCCACAGAACGCAGCATTCCTCACCCCACCGCACTGTCAGTGCTTTAACCCCACTCTTGCTAATACTCTGTCTTATGACTGCCACGCTGCACTCCTTGCCAGGAAGAGCAGCGCCTACCAGAAGGTATCACATTGAGCCTCTGTCCCCAATGTCATAAAAATCAGTGAGACAAAGTGAAACAGAAATTGGACTCAGAGGAAATAAAACTATAGGAACCCACTAAAAAATCAACAGTAAAGTTAAGGAGTCATGATTGGGTGACAGAAGAAACTGTAAGGAAGAAAAATAAATCGAGGGGCCACTTGGAAAGAAGGAATTATAAAGTAGATTAAAGTCAGAGGAGGGAGTGTGAACTACCTGTGAATAGCTGCAAAAAGGTCTTCTGTGGTCCTGGGCCGACTGGGGGTCATCACCTCATCACTCCCGTCGTCCTTGAGGAAGTCACAGGCCTCCGAGGATGAACAGGCTGCACTGGCCTCCGGTACCCCAGCTATGGAAAAGCAGGCAGGCACGCAAGACGCTCAAGTGACTACAATTTCAGTCCGCAGCCAAGCTTCTAAATATGCTGCTTCCCTGCCATTCCTGACAATGTGAGAACCACAGGGAGATGCCGTGGGTCTGTAGTTTGATAGTTTACAAAGACGGGGAAAAATGACACTAGCCTGAGAGCCAGAGCTCATTCTTTGTTAAAGTATAGAACGCCTAGGGCATCTCTCTTAAATTTTGTTGCAACGGTTCTTGGGAGGTGTTACCCACTGCTATTTAATACCCAGCCTGCTGCAGATTATCTCCATGCCCCTATTTTCTGCCATTCCTTTAGGTCTAGATATTAAAAATAATAACAAAATGCAAAGCTGGTAACTTAACCTGTTTTAGCACAGGAAGCCCACATACTGCTAGTTTTCACATGACTTTGATCTACCTGGGTTCTTTCTACATGTGAGCATTCAACAACTCTATCTGGTTCAGCTGCATATGGGCAGAGGGCACAGGAGAGAGAAGCCAGGAAGCCAGACTCACCTGCTCCGTCCTGTTGAGACAGGCAGCTCTCCCCATCGCCCCCAGCATCTGCACTGTTCTCGGCTGGCTCTTCCTGCTTGGGAGCCGGTGAGACATTGGGCTGTACCATGGGGACATTGGCTTCCACTCTGTCGGGGGACACGGATCCTGCAGCTCCTCCCTTAAGAACCGAGGTGCCAGGGTGCGTGGCATGAGAGCCAGCTTGGGCTGCAGAACTCTCTTTTGCCTCTTTGCCATACACAGAGTCTTCCTCTCCCCTCGTGGGGCTGGGCGCGGCTCGGAGGGCTTCGCTCACGTTCTCTGCGGGCTCCACTGCAAAATCTTTCTGCGGAGGTGGTACCACCAGGAACAGTTTGGGCTTCTTGGAAATGGGGGGTGGCTTCCTGCTGGGTGAAGAGTCTGGGAGTGGGGTGGTGCTGGGGCTGGGCCGAGCCTCTGCCTCCCCAGCGCTCGGAGCTCCAAGGCTGCTGTGCTCGGCCACACTGCCATGGTCACCCTGACTCGAGCTCTTGGCAGGCGTTGGAAGCAAGCTTGTCACAGAGGCAGACTGGCTTTCACTCTCCATTTCATTTGTGCTATTTCGGGATTTCAGGAAAGCAGATGGCTTTAAGTGGTACTGTGGAGCGACCGGAGTTCGTTGTTCCCGAGCTGCTTGTTCAGACAACGGTGCTGCCTCGGCACCCAAGTTCTTTCTCACCGGCCTCAACTGCACCATTTGCAATGCTTCTGTGGTTATCAGGGGCATCGGGGGCCTGCTGGTCTCCTCCTTGGTAGAAGGCGGCCTCAAGAATCCCTGGGAGGACTCTGGCTGGCCAGAATTTGTGAAAGAAGGCCTGGTGTCTTTCATGAATTTGGGGTCAAGAGGTGGGGCGGGTGGGGGCTCTGAGGAAGGTAAGAAAGGTGGGGGTAATGGCAAGGACACAGTTGAATCTGGAAGAAGGGGGCTCAGTGCAGTGGGGGGAGGAGAAAGGCACCAATCAGGTAGGGAGCAGAAAGCAGTGAGAGCTTCTGGCGGCGGAGGGGGGAACACAGGAGAGTGAGGCAGAGGAGGGCCCTGGGAACAGTCTGCAACAGGAGGTGGAGGAGGAAAGAAAGGAGACCTGTCTGCAGGACAAGGGGATGGAGGAGAGGGAACAGGAGGAGGAGGAACCAGGGGAGAGCCCACAGCTGGATCCAGCTTCTTCACAGTGCCACTCCCTTCGTTAGAAGTGTTAGAGGAAAGAGAAGTGGACGACGACGAAGTGGATATTGAAGATATCAGAGAGGACTTCCTTTCTGGTACCTTGGGCTTGGGCTTCCCCTTCCCATTTGCTGGTGACATTGATTTTAAAAACAAAGGCACAGGGGTGAGTGCTGTGGGTGTATTTGACTGGCTGGAATACCCACTGGATGGAGAAATGACTCTGTGTGACTTCTCCGGTGACATGATCTTTGGTTTGACTGAAGCACTGGGCACTTGGGGCATTGTGGCTCTGGACCCTTCTTGGACATGGCGGACTGGCCCGTTCCCAGTGGGCGCCCCGTTGCTGGCTGAACAGCCCCCTGCTGGGTTCCCCGGATCTTCCTGCATGCCCGTGTAGTCAATGTAGTAACCCCAGGGGTCTGTGTACTCTGACTTGACGCTGCTCGTGTCACTCTGCGATGGTGTGACCCCACACAGGGAGTAGACATTGGGGGTGGTGGCAGACGTCATGCTGCTGCCAGCACTGACTGTGCTCTGGCTCCGGGAGCGGGGCAGCCAGGGCTCTTCCAAGTCACTGCAGGGGCTCTGGGATGGCGAGCTGCCACCCTTGCCTGGGAGGCTCAGCTGCAGCGAATGCTGGAGTGTGGCGATCAGGCTCTCGCTAAGCACCTGCCCGTTGGACTGGCTGCTCTTCTTGGGAATCCTGCGGAGGGAGTCTGTCCGGGAAGGTGGCAGGGGAGGCTTCTTTGCTTTTTTCAAAGAGATGCTTCTTGACAGGGATTTATCCTGGTAATTGGATCGGTCCCCCTGGTTTTTCTGAGCTCTTCCATCAAAAACATTGACCACACTGTGCCTGGGGTTCCCAAAGCCATCGCTGCTATTGCACAGATTCCCAGATCCATGTCCAGAGTCAGCATGCAGAGATGTGCAGTAGCCATCGTGGTCCTCAGAATACAGTGACCCAGCATCCTCTTTGTTGGATGTTTGGTCCAAACTGCAGCTGCTCATGTTACTTGTGGGAGTGGAGTAGCCAGGAGTTGCTAAATGTGGCTTCAGGGGTGATGCCCTTCCATTACCTGAGGCTTTGTATTCCCAGGGCTCCAAGCTGCTGTGTCCTCCACCCCCTGAATAACTAGATTCACTCTTGCCATCCACATCTTGGGGGTGGGCTGGGAAGGCCAGGTTGTTTCTACAATTATATGGCATGGCTTGGGACCCATTCTCCCTATTTGCTGGAGCATTTAGAGAGACTGCCGAGTCACAGAGGGACAACAGTGTGGGTGCACCAGAGGACTGAGGGTCTAAGGCCTGTGAAAGCATGGTGGTGTGACCCTCATTCCAGTGGCGACTGGGAGACTGATGATCATCTCTCACAGCATGCCTGGAGATGAGGTGGTCTCTGGATTTTATCTTTGCATGCAATGAGCTGGAACTTCTACTTTCCAGCTGCCCTGCGCTCTGAGCAGTGTGAATAGCGATAACCTCGGAAGAGGAAGACAGTTTGGCATTTGGGATGATGCTGGTGGAGTAGGCCGCATGAGGAGAAACCACACATGCTGGGCTCGTGACATTTTCACTCTCAAAATGCCTTAGCTCCTGGGATTTGGGTCTCATAAGTGTTCCAGTCCTTGAGGCACCTCCTAAATGGCCTGAGTTTTCATCTGCTTGTGGGTGACCTCTCTGGTAGGGGAAAGTACCATCCATGTCTCCTGCGGGGCCCAGGGGACCCAGCCTCGGCTCAAGAGACTGAATGTTCGCCCTTGCTCCAGAACGCGGAAGACTGTGGAAGCCAGCATCACTGTTGAGGCGGGAAGGGAATACAATCCCTGCAGAATCGCTCAGCACAGACATGTTGCCAGAGGAACCTGAGAAGTGGCCCATCTGGGCAGCAATGCCTTGTCCCTTCTGTGCCCTGATTCTCCTCATGGAAGGTGGTACGACCTTCACTTCCTCCGTCTGACAGCTGGAGTCCCTGGTTTCTGAGCGCTGCCCAGCAGACCGATAGCTATCAAACTTTCCCAGCGTCGAGTAGTGATCGGGGGTGTATACCGAGTGGCCACCAACATCATCTTGGCTAATGCCCGATGCTGGAGATAGAGCAAAAAGAGGCTTGTTACCTGAAAATAAAATCCATAGTTCATCACCTGTACCCTCATCCCCTCTGACAAAATATAAAAATTTTTTTTCTATTTAATTTCCTTTCTCCTGTAGGTACCTAAATTTAAAGTTACTGATAGCTCTAAAATAAAAATCCTTGTCATAAATTTCAGGTACTTCTCTTAATTTGTACTTCCAGTCCTCCTGTGGCTTAAGTGCTGCATATGGAATTCTCAGGCAATCCTTGAAGATCAAGGCTGCTGAGGGCTCAGAGGAGGATTTACTTTTAAATAACCACCTTGCCATAAAGTCTTCAAGGTAGCCTTTTGCCCAGTGGGTGACTCTGCACAGAGCGTCTATCAGGCAGTGACGCATCTTTCCCAAAGGCAGATGAATGTGGTAATTGAACAATAGGGCCACAGAGGTACCATGTTTGAGGGGTACTGGTATAAAACAGTGTTAATTACATTAATTCTTTATGTCAGAAGGAAATTCTAAGGCAAAGAAAATTGATTTGCAGGCCCATCTGTGTTCCAAACATTTCATTATCCATCTGAAGCCATTCTCTGTCTGTTGGTGACATTCAAAATTCAAAAGCAATCTGTTGTGTTCTGGTGGGGGAAACCGGCAGGAACTGATCCAGTGAACATTTCCTCAAATTAGGGTGATTTATTCGTTTGAGTTTTACAACCAAACAGAGAATAGTATGTTAAAAAAAAAAAAAAAGACAAAAAGAAAGAAACACAAGAAAGGGCCAACAGAGAGGGACATGGACGAGGTAAACCTTAAGTGTAGATAAAGTGTTAGATTTCAAGCTACCCCAGAAAGAACAGAGCTTACAAGAAAAAAAAAAATCACAAAGACAAGAACTTACCCAAAGTATACTGAGAAAAAAAGTCAATCCTCAAGACAAATCAAATCTTTAAAAACAGTAGTGAAACAACAGCTTTCCCATGTTATCTCCATCCAACAAAGACCCAAGAACATCTATCTCAACAAGGGCTTTGCCGAGCAATGTGACTCAAGCACAACCCTCTGCGTCAGTGGACACCTGGGAGTGACCCTAGGAGTGATGGGATTCCTAAGCTCCTGACGCATAATCTAACCAGGACAGGGACTGAATATAGAACGCCTTTTGCTCACTCAGATAGCAGAGGGTAGTACTTAAATGACAGCAATGTGCTTTTATCAACCTCAAAGGAGAAGATGGCACCCTGGAAGGAAGGTGCCTGGCATAAAGCCTTCTCCTTCACTGTGATGGAGAGGCATTGTTATATGTATATTTTTAGAAAAGATGATCTGTTTCCTCTCTCTACCGTCTTTCCAGTACCAACTCGCTGAAGACACACAGACACACACACAAACACACGCAAGGCTGTCCCTCACAGAGAGGGAAAGTGGGCAAAAGGGCAGGAATAGAAGAAAAACCCACTTTCAAGAGGTGCAAAGTTTTGCCATTTAGTAACTTAGAAGATAGGAGGTCGACTGGTATTGGTCTATCAGTTTATACAAATTCAATTCCAAACACTCAAAATACCTCATTCCATTCAACAGTGGGTTTTGAATGTCTGGAATTAAACTCATACAAACAAATACATTTTTTTCTTGCAAAATTGTACTAGTATTTGCATGGCGTTAGTGGTAGATTTTTAACCATCTTTAAGTACCATAAACAAAATCCTGATACTTTTGGGTAGCAGTTTTAAATGTGAAACCATTCTAGGCATCTAAAAAAAAAAAAAAAATAGAAACATAGCTATTTTATTATCCTCTACAGCTAAGTATAACTTTCTTATTAAAATAAAAATATTTCCTAAAGACCTTAAAAAGCATATGAGAAACTAATATATCTTATCACAAGGACCACCAAAATTCTATTCCCAAAACAGACTCTCCAATATTTTCACAGTATAAAAAGTTTCATAATATGATGGGAAACAGATGAGTGCTATAGAGGCATGTTTTATTGTGCTTAGCTTTATTGTGTATTGCAGATAATTGTGGCTTTATTACAAATCGAAGGTTTGTGGCAACCCTGTGTTGAGCAAGTCCATTGGTGCCATTTTTCTAACGTGCTTACTGTGTGTCTCTGTGTCACATTTTGGTAATCCTTGCAATATTCCAAACTTTTTCATCATTATTAGATCTGTTATGCTGATCTGTGACCAGGGATCTTTGATGTTACCATTTTAATTGTTTTGGGGTGCCACAAATCATGCCCACGTAAGACTGCGAATGTAATTGATAAATGCTGTGTGTGTTCTGACTACCACTGGCCAGCTGTTGCCCAGTCTCTCTCCCTCTCTTGGGCCTCCCTATTTCCTGAGATACAACAATAATGAAATTAGGACAATTAATAACCCTACAATGGCCTCTAAGGGTTCAGGTGAAAGGAAGAGTTGCATGTCTCTCCCTTTAAATCAAAAGTTAGAAATGATTAAGCTTAGCGAGGAAGGCATGTCAAAAGCTAAAGCCAAAAGCTAGGCCTTTTGTGCCAAAAACGAGCTGAGCTGTTATTGCAAGGGGTCTATTGGGGGGAACAGGGGAGGGACAGCGTGGGGCGGGGGGAGAGTGGGAGGGATAGCCTGGGGAGAAATGCCAAATGTGGGTGAAGGGGAGGAAGGCAGCAAAACACACTGCCATGTGTGTACCTATTCAACTATCTTGCATGTTCTGCACATGTACCCTAAAATGCAATAAAAAAAAGTGCTACTCCAGTGCATACACACATAAGAAAGTAAAACAGCTTTGTTACTGATATGCAAAAAGTTTTAATGGTCTGGATAGATCAAATCAGCCACAACATTCCCCTTAAGCCAAAGCCTAATCCAGACCAAGGCCCTAACTCTCTTCAATTCTGTGAAAGCTAAGAGAGGTAAGGAAGCTACAGAAGAAGAGCTGGAAGCTAGCAGAGGTTGTTTCATGCGGTTCAAGGAGCCATTTCTGTAACATAAAAGTGAAGCACAAATGCTGATGGAGGAGGTGCAGAAAGTTATCTAGAGGATCTAACTAGGATAATTGACAAAAGTGATTATACTCGACAACAGATTTTCAATGTAGATGAACTGACCTTCTAATGGAAGATGTCATCTAGGACTTTCAGAGCCACAAGTCAATGCCTGTCTTCAAAGCCTCAAAGGACAAACTGACTCTTGTTTGAGGCCAAAGTAGCTGGGGACTTAAAGTTGAAGCCAAAGCTCCTTTACCATTCTGAAAATCCTAGAGTCCTAAGAATTATACTTGAGTCTGCCTGTGCTCTATAATGGAACAAAGCCTGGATGATAGCATGTCTGCTTACAGCATGATTTACTAAATACTTTTAAGTCCACAGTTGAGATCTACTCCCTAGAGGGGAAAAAAAAAGATTTCTTTCATTTACAATGCACCTAGTCAACCAAGAGCTCTGATGAAGAAATACAAATAGACAAATGATGTTTTTATGCCTGCTAACACAACATTCATTTGGCAGCCCATGGCTTGAATAGTAATTGTGACTTTCAAGTCTTACTTTTGTAATGCACTTTGTAAGGCCAAAGCGGCCATAATAGTGATTCCTTTGATAGATCTGGACAAAGTAAGTTGGAAACCTGAAAGGATTCACCATTCTAGCACAGTAAGAACAATTTTAATTCATGGGAGAAGGTCAAAATGTCAACATTAGCAAGAGTTTGGAAGAAATAGATCCAGTTCTCATAGATAACTTCAAGAGGTCCAAGACTTAAGTGAAGGAAGTGACTGCAAATGTGGTAGGAACAGCAAGGAACTAGAGTTAGAAGTGGAGCCTGAAGATGCGGCTGAACTGCTGCAATCTCATGATCAAACTTGAATGATAAAGCATTATTTCTTTCAGATGAGCAATGAAATGGTTTCTTAAGATGGGCTCTCCTAGTGAAGATGCTGAGAACATTGTTAAAATGACAACAAAGGATTCAGAATATTACATAAGCTTAGTTGATAAAGCAGCAGCAGGTTTTGAGAGATTGACTCAAATTTTGAAAGTAGTTCTACTGTGGGTAAAATGTTGGTAAACAGAATACTGTTGTACTGCTGTTTACCAACATTTTACCCACAGTAGAACTACTTTCAAAATTTGAAAGAGAAATCTTTCATGAAAGGAAAGAGCTATCAGTGTAGCCAGCATCACTGTTGTCTTATTTTAGGAAATTGCCACAGTCATCCCTGCCTTCAGCAACCATCACCCTGATCAGTCAGCAGCCATCGACATCGAGGCAAGACCCTTCACCAGCAAAAGGCTTAAGACTCTCTGTAGGCTCAGATGATTGTTCGTATTTTTTAGCAATCAGGTATTTTTAAACTGTATATATTTTTTTTACATAATGCTATTGCACATTTAGTGAGATCACAGTACAGTGTAAACATAACTTTTATAGGCACTGGGAAACCAAAAATTTGTGGGACTTGCTGTACTGCAATATTTGCTTTATTGCAGTCGCCTGGAACTATAGCTGCAATATCCCTGAGGTATGTCTATCTTGATTAAAGAACAGAACAACCTACAAAAAGAGAACTACAAACAAGTATAGACCACTTAGGTGCTGCTCAGACTTGATAGGATTTTCAAACATAATGTAAAAAAAATAATTATTTATACTTTTTCTTTTATTAATATTTCAAAATTTTAAAAAATGTAATTAAGGATGCTGAATAAAATATTTAGTTTAAGGTTTAGGATATGAATTTTTAAAGTCTTATCAAGAAGATAGTTTCTTAGTATAAACTACCAAAAATTATTCATAAAGAGGGTCCTTTAAATGAGGGTTTTTCTGCTTATAGAGTATGCATTGGGATAAGTTCAGTAGCCAAGGGTAATGTATATATCAACAAAATAATCCTACGATTCTAAAAGATGAAGCCTCATAATATGATGCTCAGATACTTTTCTGTATAGTTTTTTTATTTTTTATTTTTCCCGACAGATTTTCAATCTTGTTGCCCAGGATGGAGTGCAATGGTGTGATCTCGGCTCACTGCAACCTTCACCTCCCGGGTTCAAGCAATTCTCCTGCTTCAGCCTCCCAAGTAGCTAGGATTACAGGCATGCGCTACCACACCCAGCTAATTTTGTATTTTTAGTAGAGATGGGGTTTTTCCATGTTGGTCAGGCTGGTCTCGAACTCCTGACATCAGGTGATCTGCCCGCCTCGGCCTCCCAAAATGCGGGGATTACAGGCATGAGCTACCATGCCCGGCCCATTTCTGTACAGATTTAAGATAAAAGAAAACATTCAAAATGTCCAATTCACTGAAATTAAAGGCAACAAATTTTAGGTTACCAGATAAGCTTTGGAAGTAATCATTAAATATCATACCTTGATTTTAAAGTGTTATATATTGGCTAGTCTCCAGAGTCTATTATTTATGGATTTTAAAATATAAACTGCATATAATTAAGCATAATATACCTTTCTAATTCACAGACGTACCTCTCTATGGTTAGATTTTTTTAAAAATCCAAAGCTCCTGGCAACTTGGGCAATGTCTATTGGACAGGGTGCATCTTTCCTAGTGAATGCCTTTCCTTTGGGCCATCCTTTTCTTTTTTGTCTAATTTGTTTGACTGTGCTATACTTCCCCTTTATGTCTTATATCTAGAATAAGATTAGATTAATTTTAAAGAAAATATGAAGTGTCTGTTTTTGATCATCATTATCTAGGCATGATTTGGTAAACATTACCTAGATATACTACCTGGGTGGTATAAGACTTCCAAACTAGAGTCCTTACAAGTGTAAAACACTGGGAAAAAAGGCAAGATCAACCAAAAGTCCTGAAAAGGGAGAACAAATAAATATACGATCCAATATTTTTGCTAAATAAAACTGTATATAAATGTTAACTCCTCATTCTATCCAGCAATCCTCCAACCAGCCTATCTATAGAATAAGAGTCCTTGTCTAATTATCTTTTTTTTAAAAAACTAGCTCTTAGAAACGGTTGTCTCCGTTGACCTCCAGCTCTAATCTAGGTCATGTCATCGACCGCAATGATATTGACTGTCTCGTGTCTGACAACGGTCACAACCCAGACAATGTGGGGAAAGCTATTTTCTTCCCTCCAGCATTAGTGGCAGTTCCATGTCACATGTAAAAGAGAAATGAATGTGGATTCCATGGATTTAATCACTGATTTTAAAAATACCAGAATTACAAACGACATGATTTACTAACCTGGCCAGATCATTCCAGTAAGATCAAAGAAGCAACTGAGTTATTGGCTTCCATAATGTTTGGTTTAGTAATAAAAACGATAAAAATTCGTAACTCTCATTCTATATGTCATATTACATATGCATATAGAAAATGTACATGGAATACTTATGTGTATGTGCATCTTTATTTGGGCCAAACTATCCTTCTGATTTTACAAAGGGCCCAAATGTCTGTTTTTAAAGTCATTCCTTGAAGGCACATCTCTAAAAAGACCAGTTAAAGTATACATGTTGTTGAAGTGCTTTAAGAAATTACTCCATTAACTATCTACTAAATCTATGCTATGAGTACAGATTCGTTTCCAAATTAGTTAGCTGTCACTTCAAGAATGGAAAAAAAGCCTGAAAGAATAAGGCAAAGATAAGCTGAGAAGAGAGAGAGAAAGCACACAGGTGTCCTTAAGGTAGCTTGGGGGAAGGTGCCGGCAGACCTCAGGTAGTCACAGAGGAACCAAGACAGACTTCACAATCCCACAGGAACAGCTGCAGTCTTGCCTTTGTTTGTAATAAACCAATCCACTCTAGAATAGGCCGAGCATCTGTATACCATCTGGGTCACTATGGCTACCTGGAGCAAAGGCTATTCTCATCTGACTGTTGCTACAGCACAGAAAGCGGAACATATACACTACAAAAGTGGACAGCAGTAAAGGAGAAAATGCCAGCTAAAGAAAAGTGAGTCCATGCTCTCTAATACGAGGCATTCAAGTCAGGGTGTCTGGGAAAACAGAGAAGCACAATGCCTGCAGCACCCAGCAGCTGACATCCAACCTCAAGGTACTGGAACAGACATATCACTATTCCTGGTTAAACTCATTTTGACTAAAAGACTAACTGGAAATCTCAGAAACAATGACTCTGAGTTTCTAGGGTATAACTAGAGTAAATAAAAACATCAGGTAAAAGTAACTATTAGGAAATAAGTCCATCGTTGGCCAAAGAGGAAAGAACACGTTTCAAGACAGGTAGTATTAAGTTTCCTATAATCATCACCATAGTAGCTATTAGGTTTATGGTAGTACCAGGTACTAATCAAGTACCAAAGGCCTCACATGCATAAATTGTTCTCCAACAACCCTACGATGGAGGTTCTCTTAACATCACCAAGCCCATTTGTCAAATGAGGAAGTAGACTCAGAGAGATGAAGTTAACTGAGGTCACCCAGAGAGCAAGTGGCAGAGATAGGGTTCAACCGAGCAGGCTGGCACTGGAGTCCTACCCCTAACCCAAAAGTTATGCTATGATGCCTCTGCAGACATTCTTGCTGGGCCCTATTAAAAAACAGGAAAAGGAAGTTAATCTAGAAAGAGGAAAACAAAAGGATTATCCAAAGCATGTATTAAGACAACCAGAAACGAAACGGTTCAGTAAATAAACAACCCTCTTCACCAGCCAAAACATTTTTTTCTGTTTTCATCACAGGTTGAACATAAAGAATTAAGAAGCTATGAAACTGTTTCACTGAAAATAATAAAGGCACTATCCAATATAAATGACTATTTTATCTATATTTACCAATAATCCCAGACTGTTGTTTCTGATGAGAAAATGCCACCAGCAGTGTCATTATAGTTATAGTCAAAGTCCATATTCGTAATTCGATGTCCTAGAATGACTCTTCTGTTTCATGAAAACTTAAGATCCAAATGAAAAGTAAATTTAATTGTGGAAATAACTATTGTTCCATGTCACACAGCGATGATGAGGTAACTATCAATTTCTATCATCCCAGTTAATCATTTTTATGTAAGCTCTTCCCCAGCCTTGTACCTTCTCCCCAAAATTCAATCAACTCTTTCTCTCCATGGGATGTTAAGATTTGAACCTACTGCCTCATTCAGGAAGGAAGCTGGCCCTTTGGGGCATCAAACGGCTATCAGAATGTATCGATTTGATAAGCACCACAAATGAGGTTAGCGCAGTAAGGCCGAGCGGCAGTGAAGGGCAACAGAATACAGTTCTGATTAGCCATACCTAGCTCCTTCTGTATGTTGTCAGGGACTCCTGTAATAGTCTTTCTCCTTTTGACTTTCTTCGGTCGTCTTACCAGAGTGTCTGTGTAAATTAGAGACCGCCGAAGGCTGGCCTGGCGATCGAAATTCTCCCCTAATGCAGAGCAGTAGAACAAGCAAAGCAATGTTATTTTCAAGCAAGCTGACACCATGCACTTTCTTCCAGAAGCTTGTTGTAAAATGATAAGAAGGTATTAATAATGTTAGCCAGTCACATGATGATGAATGCTGAAGGGCAAAAAAGGAAAGAAAGCACATTATCATCGTAAGGCTGTTTTCCAAGTTCTACCTGTGTGTCCTTCCAAAGGAAGCACCTTGATCTCATTTTCAAATGAGCTGGAGTAGCAAATGCAAATTCAGTAACACGCTGGAAGAGTGATTCTGTGTTATTTAACAAAACAAAATTTTGCAAATGTTTCACATATAGCCTCTGGTCACCAAAACCACTCTACCTCAGCGTGAAGGTGGTGACGGTAATAAATACGTTTTAATCATCCGGTTATCCTGCAGAGATCAACATTAATTTCTTGCCTTGTGTGCTGAAATAAGTAAATTAATCAAGAGTTCTTGAATGGAAACCTTTTCTTCAATCAAAAAGGCTGACAATTTGGATAGACTGTAGTAACTATTCCATGTCACATAGCGATGACAAGATGATGTGACATACAACTATAGTGAAAAATGAAACGCCTTATAATGATAAAGCACTTTTACCACAATGAGACCCAGTAGCACTGCTATAATTAAAGCTGAATTGCTTCTATTTCCCAATTACTTTTAAAAGTTGATCTTAATTCAGACATTTCAGGTGATTTTGCAATCAAACCTGGAATGCCACATCATGGGACTTCTTGTTTTCCTTCCAGAGTGTAGGTGTGTTTCATTAACACACCATGAGAAACCACAAAATAATAAAGTATAGTATATAACGGCATCTGTTATAGATTGGTCTGCTTCAAATTACCTGCCACTTTAAAGTCTTACAGCACTGACCTTTTTGAATGGTTATTTTCCTCAATAAGTTATTTTTAAGTGTACAGACACACACACACACAACTTACAAACTTCTATCATTTTATGCATAAAAGTATAGAAACATTCACTCTTAGCATTACTGACACACATTCAATGTAGGTATGTTGTGGACAATGTAACTTCTATTTTGGTAAGAAAAAATTGGAAATCTTATCTAATCAAAACAAGGAATAAAAGATCTGAATGATCAAAATACATTTCCCCTACAGAGAAACAAACTTAAATAAATGCTTGCAAACTTGCAAATGCTTACAACTTTGTCACTAATGGAGAAAAACAGAAATGTCTGAGAGAAGACCCTTAAATAGCAGAAGGTGCCAATGCTGTGAAAAAATGGGTCACTAAGTCCAATGGCATAAATGGCACACATGAGGGGCAAGTCACAACTGCAGTGGTTTATTAGTTCCCTGCAGCAGAGGAAAAAAACCTCCTTGTATCAAGACATTAAGAACAGAAAAAACATTAATAGACGGGCCAGTGTTGTGGCTCATACCTATAATTCCAGCAGTTTGGAGGGCTGAGGATGGATCACTTGAACTTAAGGGTTCCAGACCAGCCTAAGCAACTTGGTGAAATCCTGTCTCTACAAAAAATACAAAAATAGCATCTGGGTGTGGTGGCATGCACCTGAGGTCCCACCTACTCAGGAGGCTGAGGTGGGAGGATCGCTTGAGCCTGGGAGACAGAGATTGCACTGAGCTGAGATTGCACCACTGCACTCCAGCCTGGGCAACAGAGTGAGACCCCCATCTCCAAAAAAGAAAGAAAAGAAAATTGCATTTAGTCTTCAGTTTTGCTTCCTAGACAAAAACAAAAGATAAAATCATCCAAATTCCAAGAAAATTAAGAAACAAACCATTTGAGGATGAACATCTAAGACACACCCCATTGAAGGCACCAAACACTTGATCTTGCATCATGACCTAAAAAAAGTCTCCTCTACTGGATTATACATTTTTTGAGGGTACAGACTGTGATGCATGTATTTTAACATCCCCTATGGCACTCAGGTAATGTCTGGCACAAAGCAGGTATTCAATAAATATCTGTGAATTTAATCACTGCCTTTAATTGAAAAATGGCATTCATCAGTCATGGTTACTATTTAGAAATAAACTTGGGAAGTCTCTGGGCATACTCTGGCTCTGGAGGCTGCCCAATTCATGAATCGTTCATTGCTCAATTAAACTCTTTTAAATTAAAAAAAAAATAGTAAACTTGGACGGCTCAAACATCAGTACAAACCCAGTTTGTAAAAATTCTTTAAGCATGTTTATCCACTACCCTTATCTTCCAGGTGGAAGAGTTGTTATCCCACATAGCAGATTATAGAACATATTTATATGTACATATTACTTTAAATATTTTTTCCTCTTCAAGTTTTGGAACATGTCTAGTGCCCCCAAGACTATAACTAAAGAGATTAAATCAATTTTCAAGCTAGCAGCTCATGGTGCTAACATTCTACTTCTATGCGTAGCAGGCTGCAATTGCCATTTTTTTTTTTCTATTGAGTCTTACTAGGAAAATCAAACTAGAGGCTCAATGCTCACCCTAACTAATGAGCACATAACAATTCCCTAAAGGAAATTTTGTTTTTAAATATCAAATATCTTCTAGGACTTTAGAAATATATAATTTAAAGAGCAGGGAGCTGTATAACCTATGTCAATTCAACCACTAAAAGTGAACATTTTAAATTTATTGTTTTTTATGCCAGATTAGAAAAACTAATTCTTTAAGAAATATGTGTGCATACATGTGAACAGACAGATGTAGAAAATGGATCAGTAAATATGTGAGTAGGTATTATATTTACTCTTGGCATTTCTGCAAAATGTTAACCACTCAATTAAAAGTAAATTACATTTTGACATAACTCATATTGCTCTTTCTTTATTCACCTTTCGTGTGTAGCATTTTAAAGGTCTCTCTTTAAACTCTAATTCATCTCTACTTAGTCATCAGATAGGATAGAATTAAAGCTCAGAGACATGACACTGTCTTCTGTTGTGACAGCGTAATTCATTGCAAATAATTCTTCATTCCTGAAACTCTAGCTACTCTATTTTAAATCTCATAAGCTCAAGATAATGCATTTCACCTTAATTCCATTAAGGATTGTCATATTTCATAGCACAATCTTCTTATCTTCTAATATTATTTCATAGGCATTTAATTATATATAATGTAATTATATTTCTGCTGCATCTAATCAATCAAATAATGTAATTCATTTTCTTATAGAAAATAAGCAGCCATATATTTCACTGAGCAATAAGCATTATACTTTGTTCTGAAATAGTTATACTTTAAAAAATAATCTTAAAAAAATATGATCTAGGTAGATAACATATTCAGAAAGATCAATAACATTGTTTGCAGAGAAAATGGATTAAAATGGCCTGCTATTCTTTTATGGCTTAAGTAAAATAAATGTGGAAAAAGAGATACTGATTGGAAAACAATTCATGTACTTATTTATTAAATTTCTATGGAATTCAAAGTATGAGTTCTAAATATAATTTCTAAATGTCTGGTAAGGTTTTAAAAAAATCTTCAGTGACTATGAAAATGCTATTAGCCCTCTACAAGCTCACCAATGCCATGGCAAAAAGCTTTCTAAAGCTTTCTAACAGCAGTAGCCTCAGAAGCACAGCAAGGATGCTATGAGTTTCCAGAGTGAATGTTCATGAACTCGTTCTTTTTGGTTACCTAGTTTTATTGTTAGCTTTTGGCCTCAAGGGCCCTGCTTTGTATGAACTGATTATCATTGACCACTACTAGTCATCTGTTTCCATCGAACACACAATTCAATTAACAGTTGAAGCTATTAACTCTTCACCTGTCTATTTTGCACTTTGTACCCTCCCCAAACCACTGACTCATGCTCCTTGTGGGCTATGAAGGTGATGAGGCAGGAAATTGTTAATATCTTTTTATTTTTAGGCAGAGTTTCACTTTTTTTGTCCAGGCTGGAGCACAATGGTGCAATCTCTCGGCTCACTGCAGTCTCCGCCTCCCAGGTTCAAGGGATTCTCCTGCCTCAGACTCCTGAGTAGCTGGGATTACAGGCACGCGCCACCGTGCCCAGCTAATTTTTTGTATTTTTAGTAGAAACGGGGTTTCACCATGTTGACCAGGATGGTCTCGATCTCTTGACCTCGTGATCCACCTGCCTCGGCCTCCCAAAGTGCTGGGATTACAGGCGTGAGCCACCGTGCCCGGCCCGCTAACTTTGTATTTTTAGTAGAGTTGGGGTTTCACCATATTGGCCAGGCCGATCTTGAACTCCTGACCTCAGGTGATCCGCCTGCCTTGGCCACCCAAAGTGCTGGGATTACAGGCAAGAGCCGCTAAAATTGCCCAACCAATTTTGATAACTTTTTAACAGCTCTCCTAAGTTCATCAAAGATCATCTTTGAACTTTATGTGTCTTGTTTTACCTTGTCACAAATAATTACAGGCTGAGTATCGTATTCCGAACTTGAATTTCAGGTTTGGCAATTAATATTTGTATTCCAGCTTAATATAACATATTTTGAAAATTTTACATTCATAAGAAATTTCGCTTAAGTAATGTCTCCTTTTTTCTACTTTAGACAATTTCTAGAAAATCTATCATTCAGAAACATCACAAAATAATTACTTCTTTACTTCTGTAAATATTACGTAACCCAGTTTTTTTTTTTTGAGACGGAGTCTCACTCTGTCACCCAGGTTGGAGTGAAGTGGCCCAAATCCCAGATTCAAGCAATTCAGCCTCCTGAACTGCTGGGACTACAGGCACCCACCAACATGTCTGGCCAACTTTTGTATTTTTAGTAGAGATGGGTTTCACCATATTGGCCAGGCTGCTCAAACTCCTGACCTTGTGATCTGCCCGCTTCGGCCTCCCAAAGTGCTAGGATTACAGGCGTTAGGCACCGCACCCGGCCTTACTTAACCCTTTAGAAGAGAAATATATAATTTTTCTTCATACCTAGGACCACATTTACAAGATGTTTCTGTATAACCAAAGGCTTACTAACAAGCAATTTAATTAAAAGAGACACTCTTAAGATGAATCGTTGGACCACTGAGTTCTTTGACACCAATGTTTGGTGACATAGTCTTCTGACCCAACAAGCAGTAGATACGTTATATGCACCCACATAGGTAGTTTTACTCCTTTCAGTAAACAAAGAGCATGAAGTCAGACCACAGCTATTCATCTCCGATGTAGCAATGAAATGCTAACAGCATATAACAAAAGCTGTAGTCATTCTCCCAAGTACATTCTGAACGTGTCTGCCTGGCAAAGCGTACCAGTTATGTTAATAGGCACCACATCAGCCTGGACTGTTTGGGCTTGCTGTCGCATCTTCTCTTCTGGTGTTGGCAGTGGAAGCGACTTGGTCCAGTTCGTCTGAGTATTAAGGTCGGAGAAGTCATTTGAGGTTGGTGTTTTAGGTCTCCTGATGGAAATAAATCTTTCTTCTTCTGATGAAGAGAGAGAACACTGCAGAGAAAAAAGAAGCAGCAGCCACAGTGTATAAAGAGCTGGCAGAAACATTTTAAAATATATTTCTTATTGTTAAAAAATTAGATTGGTTTAAAGGAAGCCAAAATGATTGGTCGCTTTTAGGAACAGAAGCAGTGGTTTGCTCATCCTCTTGAGTCTGACCCATAATATGCATGATTCACACTGGCCTTAGTCTGTAAATTGTGAGGACTGCAAAAGGTTCTGCTGACCCACAAAATCTTTGAAGTCCTTTCTGCTTTCCCTCTATATACTGTGGTCAGAAAGCTCATGGAATGGCCGGGCACAATAGCTCATGCCAGCACTTTGGGAGGTTGAGGTGGCTGCATCACTTGAGGTCAGGAGTTCAAGATCAGCCTGGCCAACACAGTGAAACCACGTTTCTACTAAAAATAAAAAAAATTAGCTGGGCATGGTGGTGGGCATCTATAATCCCAGCTACTTGAGAGGCTGAGGCAGGAAGATGGCTTGGTGGTTTCAGTGAGCCAAGATCATGTCACTGCATTCCAACCCAGGCAACAGAGTGGAGAATCTGTCTTTAAAAAAAAAAAAGCAAGCTCGTGGATTTAGTTTAACGTTGAAGCCTAGAGACAAATATCATGGCTGTGGCCATCAGTTTCCATTTTTATTAAAATTTAGTTTTGCTCAAAGTAATTTCTAGCCTCAATCTTATTTCCTTAAGGTCTTGACTTCAAGGGACATTTTGAAAATGATAGAGCTACTGTTGTTCAACTATTTCTGCTCTTCTGAAGCCACTTATATGGGAAAAAATCAGTGTGAAATTGTTCAATTATAAGAAGCTGACTAAAAGCCCTGCTCTGCCTTATCAGAATTCTGCAAAAACATTTCTAGCCGTGTTGGTTTTGATATGGATTAATATCCTATCTGTAGAGTCCTTCTTCAGTACCTTTCCTTCCCAGAACTCCTGAAAGAGTGTAAGCAAGAAAGGTGTGTTGGCAAGCATTTTATGATGGACTTCACCCTGGCTCCATGGCAGCTGGTTCTGTGACCAAGACACTCCAAGAAGCCCAAATGAGTGCAGGTGCTTAGGAACACAACAAAATGGGTAATTGACTTTTGTGGGGGAAATGGAGCTTACAATATAAAATAAATATGTAAGAACTGCTCTTTAAGTCTGAAGCATTTAAACGGAACTACCACTTATGAAAATAAAGCTTTTAGAAATAATTTTACTGAAGAATAAAAAGTCAGTGAACCTTCCCAAAGGGAATACCTGTACAACCAGCACTCAGTTCAATACACTCCCCCATCCCAACCACATACTCCCAAATGAGGGCAACTGCTATCGCGACTTCTAATACCACAGTTTTGTTTTGTCTATATTTGAACTTTCTATAAAAGGAATCACACTGTCTGTTTTGTGACATATTTCTTTCATTTAACATTATGTTTCTGAGGATTTATTTATCTTTACAAGGCATGTTCTAACCTTTCTGGATTTAATGCAAGTTTCTAAGAGGCCACAGATGAGAAAAATACAGAAATGCATTGGTTAGAAATTTCAGGCCGGGTGTGGTGGTTCATACCTGTAATCCCAGCACTTTGGGAGGTCAAGGCAGGTGGATTGCCTGAGGTCAGGAGTTCAAGACCAGCCTGACCAACCCATCTCTACTAAAAATAAAAAATTAGCCAGGCGTGGTGGCACATGCCTGTAATCCCAGCTACTCAGGAGGCTGAGGCAGGAGAATCACTCGAATCTGGGAGGTGGAGGTTGCAGTGAGTCAAGATCGCACCATTGCGCTCCCGCCTGGGCAACAAGAGCAAAACTCCATTTCAAAAAAAGAAATTTCAAACATAAAAACACTATCATCACTGTTTACTGCTGCTGCATTCATCTTGTTGCAAAAATCTGTGTTTATTCTACAACTACTAGAGCTCTATAAATCTGAAAAAGACTAGGTAAGAGCTAATGAAAGTAGTTTGATGTTGGGAATAAGGCCCTAGACTAAGAATCCAAAGACCCGAGTCTGTTCCTAACCTTTGATGTTTCCTTTGCTGTAAAATGGGGCCACAGAGCTTATCTCTGTGCATCCAAAGAGGTGCTCTGAGGACCTAATATGATAAATGTGAAAGTGTCTATGACTGTTAAATATCATGGATATAGGCAGGGAACGGTGGTTCACGCCTATAATCCCTGCACTTTGGGAGGCAGAAGCGGGCGGATCACAAGGTTGAGACTATCCTGGCCAACATGGTGAAACTCTGTCTCTTCTAAAATACAAAAAAATTAGCTGGGCATGGTGGCACGTGCCTCCATAATCTCAGCTACTCAGGAGGCTGAGGCAGGAGAATTACTTGAACCCAGGAGGTGAAGGATGCAGTGAGCCGAGATCGCACCATTGCACTCCAGCCTGGCAACAAAGCAAGACTCATTCTCTCTCTCTCTCTCTCTCTCACACACACACACACACACACACACTCAATCATGGATGTGAAGGTGGTACTGATATAAATATGACTTTAGAAAAGCAAAGTCACGAATTGACAAGTACTTATTTTTTTCTTTTACCACAAGGAGACTAACAATAATAAAGGCAGGTGATCATCCAGTTTCTTTTCCACCTAAGGACAATATTTGTAATAAAATGGACAAATACACTCCATTTATAAACTGAGCATGTTACTGGTGTCTTATAATACTAAATTGTACTATATCCGTTGATATTTGATCTGATTCTGGTTAAAAGGGTTAAAACTCACACAGATCCTTAAAGATAATCAAAGAGGTTTTTGAGCAAGCAGCAGCTATGCCACACTAATGTAAATCAATTACTTCCAGCGTTTTCGGGGTCGTGACACTTGTTAAATTTGATTTATAATACATATTCTCTACCCGTAAGATGCAGACATGCACACACATGCGCACGCACACACACACATATACACTAAAATTAATGTCACTGAAGAATTTCATGGCAGTTTGTATAAAGGCCACATGTCTGAGGTTGAATCTCAAGCTAGTAAATTAGAGGATTATTCCAATTTCCTGATACATGTGCATACATATAATTTTTCAGGCAACCTTGAATTACAGTATAAATTTTGATGGTAATACGAAGCAAATCCTAACCAGACAGGTTTAAAAGAAAGAAAAGTAAAGGTTTCAGACTACAGCTCTCTATGCCCTGTAGTGAGGGCTCACTTTTCCACGTGATGTCTGCCGTGGGAGCCGGAGGAAGCACTGTCTACCGTTTGTAAGCATCTCAATGGTGCTCATCAGCCCCACTAACCTACTTTTCTTCTAGTTGACCGATAGTGTCAGAATCGACAACTCTCATAATGAAACGGCACTTCCCCATAGGGACAATCACCAGGGATCACTCCAACATGACAACTGACAAAGAGAACCCATTTTGTAAAGTGCTCCTTTCTCTTACAAGAAAATTTCCCAGACAAGCAGGGCACAGATAAAGTTATATGTAAATGTGACTGTGAAACAGTACCGCAATCTACTAAAGGATATAAAACACCAGGATGGATGACTTCCAGGATGATGTGACTCCCATTCCTCCCAGTGTGTATAAACACAGCAGGGGCACAGAAAAATCTCCCGTATCTCAGTGGCAGAACACAACATGATTAGCCCGTTAAGATGGACATGGTAACACTGGCCTCTTAACTATCTCTATTTTCCTGCCCTTGTTGACCATCCTCCCCTGCTCTTCCTCTTCTAATAGTCTATTCTCAACATGGTAGGGAAAAGGATCTTTTCAGAAATGTAAGTCAGATCATGTCGCTCCTTTGTTCAAACCCTCCAAAGTCGTTAATGTGACCTCTAAGACCCTACATGATCTACCAGCTGGCCACTGTTATCTCCCTAACTGCATTTCCTACTCTTCTTTCTCATATTTATTCTACTCCAGCCACACCATCCTCCACGCTGTACCTTGTACGTTCCATGGGCATTTCTGCCTCAGGGCCTTTGCACTTGCTGTTCCCACAGCCTGAAATCCTCCTCCCATAGACATCCACACAGACAGCCCCTTCGTTTCCTTTGGGTCCCCTTAAGAGTCTTCTTTTGTTGGGTCTCACCTATTGATCCTATTCAGTTTTAACTTCTTTCTAATATTTTGTATCCTCTTTCCCTGCTCTCTTTTTTCCTCTTTAGTACATATAACTAGTACATATATATTTTGTGAATCTTGTCTCTCCGACAAGAATATAAGTTCCATGAGGCTTCAAATCAGAATTGCATAGAAGGTTATTTCAGAATTTGAGCTTCAGAAGGGCCACCATTTAGTAACTGACAGCTATATGCCTTGCCCTGGGTGCAGGCTTTATAGAACTTATCTCACTTAATCTTCACAGTATTTGCCTTGTTTAATAAATACGGAAGTGGAGATTCAAAGGAGTAAATTAACTTGACTTTTGGAAAGTTCACAAGAGGGCAGCTGAGATCAGGAGCCAGAACTGACTCCAAAGTCTCTCCTGTGAAACAGTATAAAATAACAAGGTTGCGGCAATATTTACAATAAATTACTAGGTCTTCTGGTCTCAGAACAAAATCTCCCTTTTTATCTATAAATAAGAACAAAACCTTTTGAAAATCTATACAAGTAAAAAAACAGTGTGTACCAGCATCTTGGCACTGTCATTTACCAGCTGTATGTTTTGATCAACTCAACCTCCCCACATACAGAACAGAATGACCCAAGTAGCTTTCAAATGCTTCATGTTAAGAAATCCCTCAATATAGGGTGACTTTCAAAAAAAAATTGAGTTTGGCCGGGCACAGTGGCTCACACCTATAATCCCAGCACTTTGGGAGGCCGAGGCGGGTGGATCACGAGGTCAAGAGATCAAGACCATCCTGGTCAACAAGGTGAAACCCCATCTCTACTAAAAATACAAAAATTAGCTGGGCATGGTGGTGCGCACCTGTAGGCCCGGCTACTCGGGAGGCTAAAGCAGGAGAATTGCTTGAACCCAGGAGGCGGAGGTTGTGGTGAGCCGAGATC